TTTTTTCAATAATTGTTAGCTAGCGTTCTAGCGGTTGTCAACAACTAGGCCGCTAGCTAACAATTACCGGAAAAAACGATTAATTGACGGAGTAATTAGAAGTCCTAATTTTGGAGTAAATTATCTTTTCCAGACAGTCCATCCGGGCCTTAAAGTTATTTTTCCTTTTCAAAAACCCTAAATTCAGAAAAAACCATCACGATTTTAGAAACATAATTTGATCAAAGGAAATTGATGCTTCATAAATAATTTATGAGAAATGATATTAGCCTTCAATAATTACGAATTATCCATTTTTCCAAAACAAAATCTTCGATTTTTCAAATCTTTTTAATCGTTCGGTTTCTCGGTCTTTCTCGTCAAGATTTTTTGAAAATTACCAAACCGATCTCCATGAAATTTTGCACCCATTTTCGAGATACTATTGTCAACGTCCTCAATGAAAAATTTTTTTTTCATCGCAACTATTTAAAAAAATGCAAAATGTAGTGAAAATTTCACCGAAATTTGTAACTTTTTGTAAAAAGCTCTGATAAAAATTCAATTATTCGTTTTTTTCTTTCGTTGAGAAACTAGTTTAAAGTGTTAACTAAAACTAACAAGTTTTTTTTTCCTAAGAGTTACCGGAAATGACGTTACAATGACGGAGTTTTCCAAATTTTTTAACGAAAATCGTGATCTTTACTACAAGAAAAAGTTTCAATTGAATATTTAATTTTTTATATGAAAAACAGAAATAGTAAAAATGGATTTTTGTTTTCACTGAGTAAACTCATGTAACTAAAAGAGAAATTCGGATATTAAAAATATTTTAAAACAAAAATCTTTTTGTTTTACCATCCAATCAAAGAAAATGTCTTCGCTTCTCTTCCACAGGGAATGTGTCTCAATCATAACTGCTAATCGCTGTAAATCAACAAGATTCTTTTCGTTGTGCTCAGAATATTTATTCTCATGCGTCACAAATTGTTTAATGATGCTCATTTCCGGTACATTCAGATGTGGGAGTCCGCAGCTGTTGGAAGACGCTATATGCAATTTGCTAGTTGATTTTATCTTCTCAACAATAAGTTCATTGATGTCCTTTAAATTATTGTTCACTATCATACACTTGTGGACGATGGAGTGAGCTCGATCGATCAGATCGGGTGATACATTTTCGTTTTCATTGTTCTCTTCGTGTTCACGTTTCTGCTGGGTATTTCATGTGGATTTTACATTACAATTGGAGCCATTTGTTTATTCACGTTTGAATGTTCTACTCACCAGTGAATCATCACTTTGCACACATGCTCTACCTAAAATACTTCCAGCGAGTTTCAGCTGCATCGCAGTTTCCAAAACGTTGTGAACACCGATGAGCCAGGCTAATGCCAATAAACATTCTCGATTATTCCTCGAATTTTCTGATAACCCGTAGAATTCAATACTTGGATATTGGAGATACGCAAAATATAATTTTGCAGATTTCGATTCATCTGAAATTCAATTAGCGAATTTACAATTAT